AAAAATTTGAATCGTCTACCACTGCTTTTACAAGCTAGAATTTCGATTTAAGTTCTCAACGCAGGCTCGTTGCACCTGCACACCATCCCCCTAGCCAAAAACCGGAGATCTCGCTGGAAGAACTTAGGTGGAGGCTGCCAGATAGCGACGTTGAGTTATAGCCACGATTTGGAACGAATCCAGACTTCTCGCTTTCCCACGTTTCACCTAACTTGGGACTAAACATGACAAAACAGACCCGAAGATTGTTAGTTTCATTCAAGTCCGTCGCAACTCGGAAAGAATCGTATAGAAAGATTTAGTCGATGCCACCACTCGTCGACCGGGCTCGTTTCGGAGGCCCCTGGAACACGTTGGTACCGTCTCCCGCTCACGAAATCCCAGGAAACGAGGGACAAATTATCTCGTCAGACGGACGCACACCGGTTTAAAGCGACGAGATCGCTCGTTGAGGCCACGCGAGGGGAGATCGGGGCCCGAATCCCCACTCCGAGCTGACTCTCGCACGGCGTTAGTCCCATCACGTGACTCCCCGCCCCTCCGACGGGGCCCAATGCCCCACTCGCCGCGCTGCCGGACACCATCGGGCCCCCTCTCCCCTCGATAACTAACTGACCCAGCGCCTAGCGCCCCGCGTGTCGGCACAGGCGGCTCCTTTCTTACCTGATGAGCGCGTACAGACGCACACGCACGTCCTCGAGGGCCCCGCCGTCACGCCAACGACGTGCGGAACAGGATGATGAGGGAAGGGTGGAGGGAAGGATGACGGTTAATGAGCTAGAACCACGGGGGAGCTCCTCGAGGCCCCCGAGGCTCCTCCACCTTTCTGGGAAGTCACGAATTGCAGCCTCTCGTTCCCTCCGCTCCGTTCGGGTTCCGTTTCTCGCGTGAAACCTCTGGTCGCTTTTACGACCGCCTTGGACTACCGAAGGCGAGTCGACAGCTTTCCGGAGATGTACGAGCCGATGACGACGGCTCGTTGAAGGGGTCGAGGATCGAAGCGATTAACGATAATGAATACCGGCGCTCCGCTCGTTTGTACTCGCGGAGAACTCGCTGCAACGTCTCCGGGAGTTAAAGGACGACGAAGGACTTTGGAAGATTTTGGAGTACCGTCGGTCGATGTCAAGCAGGATACAACTGCCTTTGGCAATAGCTGAGGATGGCGAGTATTTCAAGTCCAATTTATCCCAAATATTGAAAGCGACACGTTTGCTCGCATTGGATGGATCGAAGTCGTTCGAAGACGTTCGAGAAAGAGGCATGCGTGGGGTATCGGAAGAAATACTACAAAGGAGTCGACACTGTTCGCGCGACCTCAGAAACTTCTCGAGATCCTGGACGCGAAGCAAGGGTGGTGAAAGATCAAAGCGGATCCGAAGAATAATCCTCGCGACGAACCAGTGCCTGGGACCGAACAAAAGGAGATGGTACTACGGTTTGACAAGGAGAGACAGCGAGAGGAGGAGAGAAGCAAGGCCCCGACCAAGGAGAGAAAGAGAGGCGAGTGCGATGGGCAATAGTGGGGCCCACCTGACCAACAGGTACTTGGTAGGGCCCCCCATAAGGAGTCTCATCATTGACCCGGCCCACTCTCCCACCACTCGGCGGAGGCTAAAGGGTTTCAGTCCTCCCTTTTCGTAGTCAGCACCCTACGTCTTGCAGCTAGGATTGCTCGGCAGCTACTCGAGATGCAAATAATGAGACTTTTTACGACCGGCATAATTTTATTCTCTAATTAAATCATTCCCGTCCAAAAATTTATTAGCAGTCGCTTAATGGAATATTTCGAGCAATGATCGCTATAAACGTTCGTTCTCGGTTGTGGCCATCTTATAAAACGAACGACGTAATTTACGACGAAGTCGCGTCGTGTTCGCAACGCGAGCAACAAGTCACGATCGGAGAATCACCGGAAAATGATGGAACGAAGATTTTACGACGTTCCGCTGCCTAGTCTCGAGTCGACGTTATCCCTTGTCCTATCCAAATTCCAAGTCGCTCCCAGCTTTCCTGCCACGCGTCGAACATCGATAAAGAGGACATCGGAATCGTATAACGGTAGAGCCGACTCGGTTTCGAAATCGACCGATTTAACGATCTCGAGCGTCGATTGGGAAAGAGCGGTCGCGCGAATGTCTCGCGACGTTTTGCTCCTGCGCAAAAGACATTGGTCGGACCGATCGGCTCGTCGACCGATATTCCACCTCTGCATGGCAGCCGTCGGTATTAAAACGAGGGCAGAAGGCTGGTCGCGAAAGACTGGAAGCTCGTGCAAAAGAAGATCCAAGGATTAAACGGAAGGAGATATCGTAGGCGTCCGTCGTAACAAGAGGCGTTGTTGCCAACTCGCTTGTACTCGGATAGAGCACGTAACACGCGTACCTTTTTGTTTACACTGGATTACACGACTACCATAAAGCGGGATAACCACTTTTTGCCGCGACTACAGCAGTATTAGTTCAGTCAAGGCAGATCGATTGGATCCGCCGGATGGTTCCATCCGCTCCCCTCGATAGGGTGGTTCAGCCTTCGACGTGGATACGTGTTCGGACATCGATACGAACAAAGAAACTTAACCGTGAAATTAACGATAAGTTTCGTAGTTTACATTTTATTATACGATATGTTCGCAAAATTTGTACTTTAAAAAAGAGGGATGCGTACGCCTTCTGAATTGCTACTGACGCTTCATCCGCCGGAACAAGCGACCAACGGCCAGAATTGGAAGCACCTCGAAAGCCTCGATACTATGCAGCACTGTAACGAAAAAAAAACCCATGAATATTCGGATCCCGAGATAAAACGCCACTCGAATAAGCCCTAAGCGTCCGGGAGCCACCCCCGGAAACGATCCCCGTTTGCGTCACGCGCGATCCTTCCTGCTACGCGTCGGGCATCTCGGAGACGAGAAAAAAGAGGTTTTAATATTTAAACGAGCCGTTTCCCTCAAATTGCCCGTTAACGAACCGCGGTCGCTTTGGTTCTCCACCGACGATCACCGCGAAGAAGCCATCGAGCCACCTCCTTTCTCCGAGTCGATGAGCGAGTGCAGCACAATTAGAGCAACGCGGATTTTAGCAAGACGAGCCGCTCTAAACACGGCCGGTCACATGGAGGATCGCGACGCTAACACGGGCAGCCGTGTGTCAAGGGAGGAAGAGCTGTCGTTTCGTGCGTTGATTGGTCCATCGTTCGAAGATAATTAGGATCCAAGTCGAACGGGCAGAGACTCGGTGGGAGGAGAGTCGAGCGACTGGATGAGCAAAATCAACAAAATAATAAGCTTCCACGAGTGTTTGCGAGAGACGCGGACGCGACGCGTTCCACGCCGACGATGAGAGGTACCTGAACAGGAGAATTACGACAGGCACAGGGCAGACAGGGCCCCGGGAACCGGAGGACAACCGCAACGAGCCGACGGGATAGTTAATGACTCTATGCGTTTCATCCCTCCGGTGATTATCGGCCCTTTCTCGCAGTCGCAGGCCTCCGGCTCGAAGGAAGCTGGCCCTGTTTGACCATCCTGTGATGACGACACACCTTTTTTCTCGCAATCGGGGAAAAGCGAGGAGGATTAGTCCTCGCGGCCAACGGTCGACCTCTCGGCGCGAAAGACGTCAGGTTCGGTTGTTTCGAGTTAGAGTCTCTTTGGAAATTCTTCCAGATATTTTCTTAAACGCTCTTCTAACGACGTCCTACGTGGATGGATGTTCATTTTGAATTCGAAAAGCGTTATGCTCCGTTTCAGTGCATGGAAATTCGACTTCTGTTTTTGGGTAGGGCGCTGGGTCGAAGATTCCACGAAACGGTAGACCGTTTCCGAAACGAGCTGTCCATGCGTAAGATCTTTGGTTGTCGCACACGTGTGACGGCGACCGCGTGGAAATCGGAGCCCGACAGAGGCGCAAACGCGAAGAAAGGCAGGACACGTTGACAGTAGGCGGTTGGGTTCCGAGGAATTTGTGTCGTTGGGTAGCCAGATTTCTCTGCCGTTTTCGGATTTACGCAGGGAACGGATCCCCCCCTCGCGGGAGAAAGAAAACATATTTGACCGGCAGCCATCCGTGAAACTTCGTGTCTGCCGGAAATCGAGCGATTCGAGTGCTACAGTAGCACTGCTACTTGACTTTGTTGCCCTGGAGACTGAAACACTTTTGCGTAAATAGCGGTTGCACTGTTCGAAACGGAGCAGTGCATAATTTTCTTTGCACCCCATAGATTTCGAGAACCACCAATTTTCCGTTCCCCGCTTCAACCTACTCCATTTTACCCCGAGAGAGTCGATCTAGCCATTTAAATTCTTGCAATCGAACCCCCAAAAGAATCCGTCGGGTCGATTGCCCGGCGTAAACAACACCGCTGGAACCACTAATCGTTCCAATCACCGCGGACACGAGCCCGTCTATACATACATCCTTGACGGATAGTTTCTCCCCCGGGAATAGTTTCGACCTCCCTCTCGCGGCACCCACGCACTCCCTTCCCCGAGGAATGTACAGTCCGCCTCGTACGCCTTCGCGGTCGAAGGGACGGTAGAAGGAGCCGAAAGGAACGGAGGTGGGAGTCAGGGACGGCTGGTGCTAGTTGAGTTGTCGAGCTGACACGCGTTCACCATCCTGTTCTGGCTTGCAGCATCCGGAATCCTCTCCCTTCGATCCACGTCCCCACTAACTCCTTCCCTCGACGGTCCTCATCGTTGGATTCTTCCCACCATTTCGTCCCAAGATCTACTCGAGCTCTCGGGATCTCCCTCCCTCTTATTTACCATCGACCCCCTCGCTTCCTTCTTTCCTCGTTGCTCGTGAAACGCCGGCAGGGGCGTTCTGCTGTCGCGCTCCCTCTCTCTGGATTCGAGTTTTCCTCCAGAAACGATCTTCGTCGCACGCACGCCCACCCGAGAACTCCGTTCGTCGACGCTCGTGCTGCCGCTGCTGAGGCCGATGGTGGTGGTAGTTGTGGTGGTGGTGGAGGAGTCTCAGTACCGCCATACCCGCCAAAGCACGAGCACCGTGTGATAGCCCGCACCCGCGTCTCGGCCCGCGGATTTTTCAAACCCGCAACCCCCGAGATCGGAGCAGACGGTGGGTTTTCCAAACCTTCGGTGATTTATCAGTGAGAACGACGGAGGTGGACTTTCTCCAGGGTGACGATTAATTAATTTATCGCTGATTTCGCGAGGAACCACGTCGATTCGCGTAGGAGTGGTTGTAGTTCGGGGGTGGTGGACGGTGCGACGTTGATCGACGGCGAGTGCAAACGCTCTGTTGTGGTGCGTGTCGTGGTGCGACCCGAGGAGATATATCGGGACTCCGATCCGATCCGATGGTGAACGCGATCCTCGAGCAGTTGTCCGATGACTCAGTGGAAATTATCGGTGGATGGTTCGGTGGAGTTTCGCTCGTTACCGACTCATGACAACTCGTTGATCGTTTTGTCGGATCGCCGGAGCGTCGCGAGCCGATAGATGATCGTCAGGACTAGAGTCGTTCGCGTACGGTTAGCTTATAGTTTCTTCGGTTTATTTTAAGACACAACCGAAGAATCATCGGCGAGGAATCTCCCGGCATCGTCTCGCGATTCCTAGTTGTCCACGAGACGGTTCTCGGAACGAGCCAGCAATTGCCGCGAATACCGAGGTTAAAAGACTCAGCATATTGTACGGAAAAATAGAACGGAAGAGCAGTCTTCCCGAAGAGTCCATCAGGATTGGTTCTCGTCGAGTCGCCGACGGGTCAACCGTCGGTAGCCAGAGTCCAATAGGAGTCGATCCCGCCACCGACGACGAAGATGTAGACGTCGAGTGTCTCGATAGCTCGGAGACACCGTCGGCTTCCAGCTGGAACGTAGGACGAACGAAGAACGTCGACGTTGAGGCGTTCGACGGACGCTGTTCGTCGAACGGAGACCAGCTGGTCTGTTCAGGAGCGGACTATGCTATCGTGGATCAAAAGTCGTACGCATCGTCGGGCACGGGGTGTCAGACAGGACGATCTTCCCTGATCCTGAACGAGGAGGCTGCCAATTCCCTGGCGCAGTACCTGGCCTTGGCTAACAGTTACAAAATGCCCGAGAAAGAGGTCGCCTATCATCAGGAGGCGTTCTCCCTGCTACCGCCACCGCCACCCCCGCATCATCCGCATTCCGCCTTTCACGCGGCGTTTCATCCGCACCCGCACCCTCATCCGCCGCCGCCACCGTTTCATCCGCATCATGGACCACCGCCTCCGCCGCACCCCGCCGCTGCCGCAGCGGCAGCTTGGGAGCACCACGCGGCTGCGGCAGCCGCGGCGGCCGCAGCAGCCTTCCACGCGCCGCCACCTCACCCGTAAGTCGTAATTCATCTCTTCTTGCATGGTAGTTGCGTATATCTAGATATATAGATAATCGTTGGAACGATTCGCGTGAACGGCGAACCATGTATGTTCTAAATGTGCACGATGCTGCATAAATTAGGCAGCGAAACGAGAACAATCGCGTTCTGTACGATAGAATCGTCTAGACTTAATATGTCACGCACGCGACCCGCGATCCATTAGAGCTCCAGACTGGCTAGACTTTATTTATTAACAACGGAGTAGTCGAAAGATCAAAGTTACATTATATTAGAGCTCGAAAACATTTTTTACTGCTATAAAAAGATCTCACATCTGCGACCTTCGACGCGATAGTAAATTGGCCCAATGACAAATAGAATTTGACATGCCTGATGTAGGTTATACGAGCAGACCTCGGGCAACGGTCCGTCGGAGCATTTTTCTTTGTAAAAGGTACCCCGTCGCTGCTCCGTTTCAACGTGAACCTCGGCGATGAATGTTTCGACGGACGATTGACGAGTGACAGATATTGCGAATCAAGTTTTAGACGTCGATTATGTAAATAGTGGCAACGCGAAACGCGAATACAGAATAGGAGGAACGCCGTGTCCGCCCGAGCAAAATGAAGTAGCTGGAGCGATGGTCGTGTCTAACAAGGTAACCAAACAACGAGTTAGATCGACGATTCGTTTCGATATAGGTATCCAATGAAAGGTTGTCGTACATCTCGTCTCGTATCAAAATAAACTCGCAAGACTGGTGGTCCGCAGGTCCCCGAATAGCAACTGTTTCGATATGTAAACAGAGAGATTCGTATACGACTCGTGGAGACAGTTTTGCCAATGCCAGCATACTATTACCGATTTATTGGATTAGGTTCTTCCTCTGTTTGCCCGGATAATCGGCGTTCCATTGTACCTCAGCGGTACCTCGCGATCGCCCCGTTTTAAGGGATGTTCCGGTACCGTGAACAATCTCTACCAAATCGAGGGACGTACGCGACGGTTAGGTCAAGGTAAATGGAGTTCTCGCGCTAACGTCTTTATCGCCGTCGGTTCTCTAGTCATCGCTACCGCGCGCGACTGATAATCGTGCAACAATGTAATAAATTTTAAGATTACACTCTTCGCTTGCACGCGAATGCTTCCTTGCATTCGTTTGCGCGGTGCCCCCTCCGCTTGCCGCGATATATAATTCAATTACACATCCGCCGCCGTAGCATTTTAACCCGAGACGCGCACAGAAGCCGGCTCCGACGATTCCTTGACGCGCGAACGTGCGTCGAATGAAAGTTAACGAGGCAAAGCTTAATGGCGATCTCCTCGCGGATTTCATTCGCCGCGTACCCCCCTTAATCATCGCCTACAGTCGCGCGCTTATCTATTAACACATCGACTTGATTCATGAGCCTTAATTACTCGTAATGAAACTCACCGAGCCCGAGGTCGCTCGGCACCCCATCTTTTTCCTCTAGTTTTCTCGCGAATCGCCACAAAGTCATTGCGACCCCAACCGTTCCTGACGAATTTCGCCACGATAACGTTTTCCGCTGGAAACGAGGATAGGGACGTCGAAACGGTGGTGAGAAGCTCGAGTCGCGAGAGAAAGGGGCCTTAACGTCTTAATCGAGTTCGTTAAGGCTCCTTCGCACGTTTTCACGTTCCGCAAACACGACACGCTATTGCACGCAACGAGATTACCTCGTACGACTTGTTAAGGCTAGGCTGGCGGGCTCGCAGAAACGTTTCAACCAGCCAAGCCGCGGATAATTAGACGTTTCTAAACGATAGTCTTAACGCTTCCCATGGTCGATACTCGAAGCTCGGGAATTCCACGAAAGTTTCTTTTATTGTTAAGAATCTAAAGCGTCGGGGCCTATATCTTGAGTTTAATTGCCCTCGATCGTTTCCTGTAATCGGCGAACACCCTTCGTAGGCGTGGTTTCATCCAAGATCCATATCGACGACAAAGTTGACGTGGATGATATTTCTAGCACTTTCTTTCTATCTATTTCGGAGTAGGCGGAATTCCATTAAGGATTTCGACTTGTTACTCGAAACAGCTTGTCTCCGAGTCCATCCATGCCTTGTTTAATCCTGGCCAAGGATGATTTATATTTAAAACTTAGCAGCGTCGAGATGAGGTATTCCTAACGCGAGGCCTGTCAATTTGAAAATGTACGTAATACGGTCTATACACACTAATTGCTTCAATGACGCTTATCTGTCGTTTATATAGAAATAAACATGACAAATCTGTTTGATATGCAGTCCGTAGCGTGAACGCACCAGTCTACCATTGGCAAGAATTACTAAATAACAAGCTCTGCGTGCCGTGGTAAAATGACTGAGACCGTGGCAAAGAATACATAGTTAGTTCTAATAGAAAAATTCAAGATGGAAAACGAGTATTCGGATAGTATTGCAATCGTACGATCAACCACATCGCTCCTCTGTTCCAGAGCGTTCTGGTTGGCTGTGTTTCTTGTGCTCGCATTCCGTCTTTGCTTTCTCATGCGGCGAATAGAGATCGTTAAGTAAAAATAAAATGAAAATGTACGATTCGTCGTAGAATAAATTGTCGCGTTCATGGGTTCTTCGGATACATTGAAATCTCCATCTTGGACGGCTTCGTCTTGGTTGGGAAAGCACGGATTGCGTTCATCTTTCCCGATTGTCTCAGCACGGAAGCAAATCGGTTGGAAACGCGGTTCTCGATCAGGCAGCGACGGCAGGCGTAAAATTCACGGTGCGCGTCGGCTGGCGTTTCCCTTCGGCTTCCTCTGCAGCCAACATCGGCTGGATATTTTCGTCTCTTTGCGAAGATGCGAGAGTCGCGCGGTGTATTTTTGCCTTCGGTGTGTGTTTTGCTCCGTCACGGCCGAGACGGCATCGTCCATTTCATTCCCCGTGACGAGCCTCGATCCGAATGTCCAGCGGACGCGCTCCATCCTCGCGCATCGCGATCTTCGAGGCGTGTTACTCTGGACATTTTTATTAAATTAAAACGGATGCGTATCTCTGATAGTTTAAGTATTTTTTGGAGGATACGTCCTGAACGCGGATGTCATTTCATCGAGAAACAATTCCCTCATATATTCTTGGTAACTGCTCATAGTTCAATGGGCGCTCATTGAACGAGCCGACGACGATTCATTTCGAGACACGACAGGCCAATGATATTTGCATTTTCTGGCACAATCACGCCGTTACTCATTACGCGCGGCTCGTTGCTCGTCGACAACGTCCAAGGAACCCTGCGCGGACACTTCCTGCGGACCGATGAATGCGATCTAAGTGCGCTTGCCGATTGCGAATGCCGGACGACCATCGTTTTCCGAGCGGTTGCTTCGCGTGTAACACTCGCCGCTCTGTCCGCGGACACGTTATGCTCGTTGCTCGACGCAATACGTATGATTTAAACGATCGTTAACGCGCGCATCGTCGGAAGAAAAATGATGGATCAGTTGGCGCGAGTGAATCAATTTTCGGAGCTCGCCTACTCGAGCCCCACGAATTCCGTGTTCGTTGGGTATTCTTCTTGGGAGACATAGATGAATTGCTTCGCGACGGTTTTTGAGTAATTTTGTTTGGTTTAGTTTGGACAAGAAACATTCGACGCGAAAGCAACGCTGTCCATCCTGTTTTATCTTTACTTTATAGACACACCACGAATTTCTCGATTCAACTGAATCGTGTCGTTCCCCTTTATTGTGGCTATCCATTAAAAACTGAACGTGACTCGTTTGAGGTTGGTTCTCGCGAATGGCGAAAAATCGCGGTGTCCATTACGATATCCTGCACGAAAGAATTTGCTTCTCGATCACGAAACTGGACGCATTTCCCCGACCATCGAAGCCTGTTCGAACCGAAAACCCTAAATAATCCTGCCGTTCTCCCGGCAAAGAGACTCCTACAATCGTTGGACCATCGACATCGAAACGTTCGCTCGTCGCACCTTTATGTTCAACGTATTTTCAGCTCTTGGTCGAAGCAAACGAGAGGAAAAAGAGAAGCGAAAAAATCCCGAATCGATTCCCCCCTTATCCGTAGTCGAACGCGAGCATGGAAGCTCCAGATTCTCGGAGAACTCGAGCACCGGATCGGTCGTAACGTCAGGTAAATCGGGTACCTGGTCGTCCTTAGGAATTTTTATCGCGACCTGGCCCCACGCACCGCTCGTGGGAGGAAAATCTGGTCCCGCGCAGACAATGAACGCGCGCTCGCCTCTCTCGTTTACGAATCTCTTCATCGCGTGGGCCCCGAGATCGCCGTTGCGAGCGAGAAACAAACACACTACCAGACATGGCCAACACTTTCATATTCGGATACAAACTTCAAAGTACGCAACTTTCCAAGTATCTTTTGTTCGATTTAAATTAGATTCCGAATTGCACAACGCATCAAAAATTATCTACCGATCGATGAATCTTTGCGGACCTTCTTATCAACCATTTCTTAAGAGATGTTTCCGTCTCAACATTCCGCGTCGCGATCTCGTTAACGATGGAACCGATTGTTCCCTGTTCCTTTCGTTTCGGCTTCCAAGAAACCCTCGCTAGAGATACGCTTACGTCGTACTGTTTGGTCAGTTCGATCTGTTTGGAGTTCGATAGCGATTCCGGGACGATGCAAGCGATGATGTCACGCATCGATGATGTCGCCGAAGCCAGGGATGCTGCGGGGACCATTGTCGCGAACAATTTTCAGAATCCCTCCGTGGTTTCTATACCGAGACTCGAGGTCTAACAAAACCCATGGGTTCGTATCAAAGACAGCTGCGAGTCAATTTTTAAAAAATCCCTATCGCGTGCCCCCGCGGTGTCTGGGGGCTCGGAGCTCGTTGCCCGTGTAAAAACGGGAGCCGATTTGTCAGCGAGGCGGGATCGCGATGTACACGGTAGGAGCTCGTCGAAGGAAGACGTTCCCTAGCCTACCCCGTGGTCCCCGTTCCCCTGCGGCTCTCTTTCTTCCCCTTTCGCGCGAATAGAAAGCCGCGGGGCTGATACCGA